GGTTTAGGTGTAGCAGGGCATTCATTACCAAATACACATCTATGTATTTTTGCATTGTGAATTGAGTGAGAAAAAATCTATAAAAACATAATATATTAGCTAAAGAAAAAGCTGTTTGAATATTATAAAATATTTCTATAAAGTCTAGTTTGTAACTTCTTATAAAGAAACTTATCTACAATAATTAAAAGTATTCTTTGTGATCTATTAGCACCACATTTATTTAAACTCAAGCTATATTTAAAACTTTCCCAAAATACTTCTGTGGTGTTGAATATTTGCTTTGGTATTGTTCGTAAAATCTATTTTGGTAAAGTATATTGATCATTGCTTTATCTGATTCAGGATCAAATGATCAAGTCCAAAATTCATACTATAAAGTTTAGTAAAGAAATTTTAGTTAGCAGGATAATTATATTATAGTTTCGCTACTATTACATCACTATTAGTTGTATCGTACTACTACTATTACAGTATTATGATATCACATCACTTCTTTACTACTAGTTTTTTACAATCAGCAATCTAGCATCAATAATATCTACCTCAGATTCTTCTTTATCAAATGGAGTTATATTGACATATCTAGTAGTATATAACATTGCTCGTTATGCTTGAATTTCTTTTTTAGAAAAAATATAACTATTTGAATATAACGAAGCTAACTGGCTTTGTAATTCAATTATTTGACAATTATTTTTTTTCCAGTTCTAAAACAATAAATACCAATTAACCTAACCGTATGTTCTTCTATACAAATGATATCTGAATATTTGTTTCATTTTCGAATAATTGTGCTATTCATCATAAAAATATAACAGTTTTTTTGCTTGTTCTAATTTTTCTTTTATGCTATAATTATTTAAGCCAAATAAAGTAATTCCTGACCATTTTTTTAATATACCTATATTTTTTTTACATACTATTAGAATCTGATCCACGATATTCTTCAGAAATTTGGTTTTGTTTGTAAATACAAACAGAGTATCTATCCTTATTTATAGTTTGAAAAATCAAAATATATTCATTAAACTTGGAATAGATAAAAGATGAAGCAAATCTATATTTAGCTTCTTGTTTTGTTAATATACCAATCGAATGTATCACTATACTAATTTTCTGTAAATTTATCATAAAAGGTTGAAAGAATAAATCTGATACAAGTTCATCTAAAATATTATTGTCATCTATGTTCATCATTGATACTCCAGAAAAATATATTTCTGTTTGAAATATTTTTTTATAAAGTTTTGAAATAGCAGCTGTAGGGTCATTTTTAACTTCATTATTAGACTCTAATAAAGATTCACATAAAAATCCTGGTAACAAATTATTATATTTATTTTCTTGAACAACTTGAATTATAAAGGTCTGTCTTTTAATAAAACTTGTGTTTTCATACCAATTCAAAAAGGGTAGTATTGTTCAATTTTTGTTTCATTCTCTTGTGTCATTTTAACAAACCACCAGCTTCTTAAAAAAGATCTAAAGTGCAAGTTAGATATAATTATGCCAGTAGCAATC